CATGCGATATCTTATTTTAGCCCGCCCTATATTGGTGACCACTTCATAAATAGATTTAACCACCAACTAAACAATTCAGCTAGTCCTAATGACCCAGATCCAATGACCCCACCCCTCATTACAGTGCCGATAACCCCATCGAGAGCTGCCAAGCCTGTGTCAGATTCATGGCAGAGACACATTCTGTGTGGGACTCTCATGATGGGCACAAACGCGGCACATACAGCATTACGTTCTGCCAGCCTGGGAACTTACCGAATGCAACTTGAGTGCTCCCTGGTAGTAGAAAGGGGAACTGGACGAGGAGGAGAAATACTTGAGAGAAATAATAAATAAATAAATACGTGTTTTAAAAATGTTATACACACAAATAAGCAACAGAGGAAGAGAGAGAGAGAGAAACATATCTCTCCTGGCCCCTGTATGTGGACTAAATTTTGCTTATTTACCCCACTGTGATTCTGGTGTAAATCCAATGAAGTCAATTCTTTCATTAAGAACGATTATTACTGTAGTAATATTTCGGAACCCCAGCTTTGTGCCCCTACAGAAATCTGGCTCAACCAGCTACCTGGAAATTCCCCTGGTGCACTGGCTCTATGTTACAGCCCCAGGCACAGTGGGCATTCCCAGAGGTGAGCGGTCTGGCCAATGTACTCCTCCACTCTGGCTATTGCCAGCTGCTGGAATGGTCCCTTGGGGCTACAGACAGTTGAGGATGAATCAAGGAAGGTTTTGGGCTGCTCTGCTTCCAGGGGCCAGACTGACCCGCAGTTATCCCCTGGGATTCAGTAGCTGTGAAAGTGGTGGAAAGCCATCTGGGACTCCTCCACGCTCTGGTCTCCTAGTGAGCCCATCTCAGATGAGCCCATCTCAGCCAGCCCCGGGAATCTGGCCCAGTAAATCTAAGGGCATTTCAGAGAGTCTGGATGGAGTCTCAGGTGGTGCAATGTGAGCACTGGAGGGAGCAGAGGAAATTGCACATTACACCAATGTAGCGTCTGCCTAGGTGTAAATTCTAGCTCAAGGAGATATACCCAGGCTTGCTCTGACCCAGCAGGCGTGCCAAAAATTGAAGTGTGGCTGTGCTTGGGCAAGTAACAGGAGAGGCTCCCTGTCCCAACTACGATCCTATCCAAGACCACAGGTACAAAATCAGAGCAGCCAGCCCCTCTTGTCCCCATGGCGACACTTCTATTTCTAGCTAGATGAGAGCTAGCACAACTATGTCTTCTCAAGCTGGAATGTTCACCTTCCAGCCCCAGCGCAGACAGACCCGTGGGCCCCTCTGGACTCTCCTAGCTCCACCCAAGTTCAGCCCATGGACTTTGTTCCACTCACCTAAGGAATACATGTCACCTCGGGTTCCCATGGTGGCTCAGATACTATCAGGGTAGGTCGAGTTCTGAGGATTCTGAACTTTGCAGCCTCCTTATCTTGGAGAACTTAGACAGGAAGCCAAGTTGACTCATGTCCTGTTGCATTTTATCATATTAACCCACAGTATTGCACACAGGAAAGCACTGTCTTCTCAGCATGCCCTGCTCTCCTTCCTTCTGCCCTACCACTTCTCCCAGCCCCATAAGCATTTACTTTGCATTACTTTGCATTGTAGGAAAATGACCACAGTGCAGAGGGTCTAGCACCACTTCACAGAATCACAGAAATGTGGAGTTGCAAGTGACATCAGGAGGTCAAACAATCCATCCCCATGCGCTGAGGCAGGACCAAGTGCACCTAGACCATCCCTGTCAGGTGTTTGTCTAATCTGTTTTTAAAACCCTCCAATAATAGGGTTTCCACAACCTCCATAGGTCACCTATTCCTGTGCTGAACCATCCTTTGAGTTAGAAAGTTTTTCCTAATATCTAACCTAAATTTCCCTTGCTGCTAACTAAGCCAATTCCTTCTTGTCCTACCCTTGGTGGACATGGACACCATTTGATCACGTCTTTATAACAACCTTTTGCATAGTTGCAGATTATTATCATGTTCCCCCTCAACCTTGTCTTCTCTGGACAATTTTTTCAACCTTTCCTCACAGGTCATGTTTTTCTAAACCTCTGATCATTTCTGTTGCTTTCCTCTGGACTCCGTACAATTTGTCCTCATCCTCCTTGAAGTGCAGCACCCAAACCTGGTTCTCCCGCTCCAAGTAGAGGAGAACAGTCACATCCCATCTCCGACCCACCCCACTCTGCATGTCCCAGAATGACATTTGCCTTTTTTCAACACCATCACACTGTAGATTCACATTCCATTTGTGGTCCACCAGAAACCTCACACCCTTTTCTGCAGTGCTGCTGCAGAGCCAGTGAGTCCCCATACCTCCCCTGTGAGTAAGGACTTCCAACTAGCTTTGCACCTTCCTTCTGGTAGTTTCAACCAGCCCATACTTCCTTAGTTTGAGAAGGAAAATGTCACATGGGACTGTGTCAAAAGTCTTACTAAATTCAAGATACATCATGTCCACCTCTTCCCCCCATCCACTAGACTGGGTACCCAATCAAAGAAGGAAATTACATCTCTTTGGCATGATGAGGGTCAGAGCCAGAGGCCAAATGCCAGTGCCAAGGGTCAGAGCCAGAGGCAGAAGACCGGAGTTGGAATCCAGGGTCAGAATCGGGTCAGAGCTGGATGCAGAGCTAAGGGTCAGAGTCAAAATTTGAGATAAGGAATCAGAGCTGAGGGCCGGAATCAGATTACCTGAGGCAAGGCAGGAGCCGGGCTGCACCAAGGCCGGAGCTATCATAGCTGTGGGCAAAAGCTTTGAGCAGCTACTGAACTGCTGCTGCTGGGCTTAAGAGCCTATCTGATGACCCTTCCCACAAATCAAGTAGCTTGGTACAGGCTCGTGAGGTTGCCTGGAGACTGGCTGTGCTGCAGGCCCAGATTCCCGACAGATGATCCTTGTCCATGGTCCCATATGACAGGGTCTTCAAGGGAGTGACTCCTCAGGATTTGGGGCTCTCCAGTCCTCCCATCCAGTTATCTGTAAGCTCAAGGTGAAGAGAAGCAAAGAAATAAACTTTAGATCCTCTTTCTATGATCACTCTCATGCGTGGGTCTTACCAGGTCCCCTTTTCTTGTGGCCCCTTCCTAAAGGAACAGCTCTTGTCCAATCAGTGTCACAAACATGCTTCTTCCAAATAGATCAACCTTCCACTGAGGAAAAACACTGCACACACATGTGGGTTTTGCCCATATAAAGGCAGTTCTTGCCCAGTGAATTCCCCTTTCTCAGATGTTTCCTGGTGGTTAGCTCTGTCCTGTCAGGATGTGGTGTATGGTTCATCTCCCTTACTTCCTTCTCTGTCTTCATTTGAACAACACATTCCCAGTGACTAAAGAAATTTCTTTGCTCTCCTGTTTGCTACTGGCTAGCAGAGTCTATGATGGCATGCGTGTTGGGATCATTAATTGGGGCCCCATTATATTGTCCTGCCAACCAAGACTTCATTCTCCAAAGCTTCCTCATTCGAGTGTCTTCCTGAAGACAAGCGTAAACTCAGCTGTCCCTGCCTGAATGAGCGTCGGCAAAGCTGTTCTGAGCAGGCGCCCTTAAGGGTTAGTTTCACAAACACAAGTTACTAGTGTAGAACTACAGATATTCCCAGATGCCCAACTGGTGCAAATCGGCATCGGTCTAAAGGAGTCCACACACCCATTTACACCACCCTATATTATGAACTACCACCTGCTCAGGGGTGGAGTCGTGCCCAAAACAAGCCCAGGGATTAGAAATGGGGAGTTTATCAAAAATGAGGAAGCTCGTCAGAAACTATGTCTATACTGAGGAAATTAAGCTCAGACTCAGTGCGGAGGCTGCTGGAACCAGACTACCAAGCCAAGGAGAGAGGCAAAGCTCAGACAGCGAGACCTAGCAAGGCTCCCTGCTTACCCCTGGCTGAGTTACACATCCCCATACGTCACAGACTGCGACCTGCGACCTGACCTCTGCTCCCCTCCCCAGCTCAGTTCTTCCCCACCTCTAGTGGCTGTGGCTGTTTGGGGCAGTAGCTGGTGCTGTTGGCAGAGTCACTTGGCGAAGGGCTGAGCGCACACGGCTGAGGAAAGGCTGGTGTTCCTGGGAGGCAGCGCTAAGCTTGCAGTGTGTGGCGCAGTAGCGAGGGTGACAGTGCAGCCTGCCTGGAGTGGAGACGTTGAGGACATGTGCTGGTAGCTGGCTGAACTTTTTAGTTCCTGTTTTGGGGGATTTAATTCCTAAGTGTTTTTCATGTTTCACTGGAGGTTGCAGTGGGGGGAGGGGGAGAAGAACAGATGTTGATGGAGAATGCTTTATCTAGCAGCTGCACGAGTTCTTCTCTGGCAGAAAAGCAGCCCCGAACAGAGAAGATTTTACATGATCCCACTCCCACAATCAGGTTTGCGTGAAACCACTTCCCCCATCAATCACATTTTGAGCACCCAGCCTCCAATCACCCAGTGACGTTTTTGCAGCCTGGCCTCCATCCATGAGGTTTCCGTGCACGGTTGCTTTTACAGCCAGTGAGAGTGAACAGGGAATAGCAACCGTGATATTTGCAATATGTCCTGTGGTCTGAGCCTCTGATCATCTCAGCTCCCTTGGTACGGACACTGACTGCATGTCCGCGAGGGAGGGGAGGCCCCAGTACAGTGGGCCCAGTGTAGCTAGACCCTGAGGCAGCCTCCCCTCCAGCTCCAGCATAGGAGGCAGGGCACAGACAGCCTGTAGCGATCATTATCAGCCACTGAGGTTTAAATCAGCCCATCCAGGCTGCTCCAGCCCCCAGAAAGTCTGGCGTAGTATGTGCCAATGAGGTTCCCTGAGGGCCCCATTCCCAGACGGGGCACAGCAGAGAATGGGGGCCACAGCTGGTTAATTACATTTCAGCCTGAAATTTACCAACAGTTTCAAACCTGGATAAATGCTCTAGTCGGCTCCTAAGCAACTGGGTGATGGAAACAAAGCAATGGGATTAGACGTATATGTTGGTCATGGGAAAATACTCACTTGGGTCTGACAAGCATCTAAGCCGTTTGTATGCAGCCGTCCATTTAGTGGGGTCCTTAGGCTTCTGGAGGGTTCCAGGGACACGGTAGAACGGTCCCACCCCCCGGTCCAATAGCCTCTGTGCTATTGAGGAGGATGAAACTCTCAGGGAAGGAGAACATCAAACTGGAACAGAGGGAAACAATCCCATAGTTGGGACCCTCCTTCCAGAGGATGCCATGGTATCCTCTCACACTGAGGATACCTCTTCAGGGGAGGGAACTACAGTTATTGATAAGAGACAAATAATAGTAAAGGGGATTCAATTGTTAGAAACGTAGTAGCTTGGTTTGTGATGACTTGTAGACCCGTATGGTGACATCCTGTCTGGTGCGAAGGTTGCGGATCTCTCAAGACATCTAGACGGACATATGTGCAGTGCTGGGGAGGAGGCGCTGGTCATGGTAGGTATCAGTGACATAGGGAAGGATGGGGGAGAGGTCCTGGAGGCCAAATTTAGGGTGCTAGGTAAGAGATTGAAGTCTAGGACCTCCATAGTAACATTTTTTGAAATGCTTCCAGTTCCACGCGTATGACCAGTTAGACAGGCAGAACTGCAGGGTCTCAATGCATGGATGAGACGATGGTGTAAGGAGAAAGGGGTTAGATTTATTTGGAACTCAGGAACCTTTTGGGAAAGGGGGAGTCTATACAGGAAGGATGGACTCCACCTAAACCAAAATGGAACCAGATTGCTGGCACTTAAAATTAAAGAGGTCATAGAGAAGTTTTTAAACTAAGGGCTGAGGGAAAGCTGACATGTGCGGAGGAGCATGTGGTTTGGACAGAGACATCTCTTAGGGGAGGATCTATTAATGGAGATTATCTATGTCCTAGTAAGGAGGTGGCTAAGGAGAGGATCGAAGATGATAAGATTCAGGTAGGATCTGATGAGAAACAATCAAATGAAAAAGAGTCCCATTCAATTACATTATGTAATGGGAGACAGCTAAAAATTGACAATTTTTTAAAGTGATTATATACCAATGCTAACAGTCTTAATACTAAGAGAGGTGAACTAGAATGTGTCATATTAAATGGGGTTATGGATATAATAGGCATCACAGAAACTTGGTAGAATGAGGATAAACAATGGGACACAGTAATACCAGGTACAAAATATATTGGAAGGACAGAACAGGTCGTGTTGGTGGGGGAGTGGCACTATATGTGAAAGAAATCATTGAGTCAAATGAACTAAAAATCTTAAATGAACCAAACTGTATGATGGAATCTCTATGGATAGTAATTCCATGCTCGAATAATAATATAGCAGTAGGGGTATACTACCGACCACCTGACCAGGATGGTGATAGTGACTATGAAATGCTCAGGAAGATTAGAGAGGCTATAACAATAAAAAACTCAACAATAATGGGGGATTTCAACTAGGCCA